TGCTGTTCTAAGAACTGAACAAATACTTCAGTGAACGTAAAAAAAATGCAGGCTGATAAAGAGATAAGACTCAGAAAGTCAAAGCTAGACCGCAGGAGTTCTTCTCCTCAGAGTAATGAAGCCCAAGAGACTCTTTCCAAATCTACTACATCACAAAGACAATTATTCCTCCGCCCAGCCCTTCCCTTAAATCTGTAAGGGCTAAAGGTTAAAAGATGCTGCGAAAAATACACTAAGGTCTCCCTCTTACAAGTAGATAAGAAAGAGAGAAAATTAAGCTTGTCTTCCACCAGATTCCTTTAGAGATAGGCGCAAATGCCAAATATATTATGCTCAACCGGGGCTGACAGAAGCCAAGCAGATCAGCTGGCAAGCAATTTGGAAAGAGGCTAATGCTGAACCATGGCGAAGAGGTCTAAAAGTTTGCCCAAACTTGTGAAGGGCTGAAAAGGTTTAACAGCAGTTCTAATCAATTCTGCGGGAGACAATTCAGTTCTCTGAGACTAAAGGAAAAAGCAGGATGCCATCAATTCTTGATCCTCAAAACCGTTGGCTAAAGGCCGTAGCCTATTCCATAAAAAGTGCAGCGTCCTACTGTGTGGAACTCTTTAACACACACTACTCCAGGGGATCTCCCGTGCGTACATCACAACAAGGAACAACGAAACATGGGAAAATATGGAGGGTCCTGAACAAATGCTAGGAGGAGGTTAAGCACGATGATAAGGCCACCGTAAATCTTTGCCTTTGGTCATTGCAAAGAATGAGATGAGGCAAGGTAGAAATTGGTTATTATTATTAAGAACCCAAAATTATTAAGAACAAACACGAGATTTGGAAATGATTCAATGGCATGAAAAAAAAAAACAGCAGGCAGGAAAGTCTGTGTTGGAAATAAAAGCCTATTTTTTTTTTCAATAATGGCACTGAATTGACCAACTGTGCTTAGCAGCTGCAGTCATCAACTAGGCAGCTTTTAAATGGGAGAAGAACCAAAGTAACAGCAGTAAATTAAAACTGTAGACTACGTGGATGTTGTTTTGTGTGTTGTTTGCCTTTGCACACAAATGCTGCTTTTTAAGAAGTTCAGCATCAACTAGTCTTCTGCTTAATGGAACAATTGAAGATCTGTAATGAATAAAGGATGTCCGCTTGATGACAGAAAAAAAAAATCCCACTGGGAACTAAATTCTAATTCTTTGCTTGCCAATAAATTTATAATTTATTTAAAATCAATTATCCAAAGGAAGGAAGGATCAAGACAACACAGGGGCAAATTCCTAATCAAGTACCAAAACTGATGCATCTAATGCAAGGCCCAATTAATGCTTTTTCTTCCAGTTACGGCCTTTTGACAATTCACCAATATATTCTATAAAATATCCACGCAGAGGACAGCCTTGTGACTAGGCTCAGCGTGTGCTGAACTTCTGGACCATCTAAAAAATCCCACTGGGAACTAAATTCTAATTCTTTGCTTGCCAATAAATTTGTAATTTATTTAAAATCAATTATCCAAAAGAAGGAAGGATCAAGACAACACAGGGGCAAATTCCTAATCAAGTACCAAAACTGATGCATCTAATACAAGGCCCAATTAATGCTTTTACGGCCTTTGACAATTCACCAATATATTCTATAAAATATCCACGCAGAGGACAGCCTTGTGACTAGGCTCAGCGTGTGCTGAACTTCTGGACCATCTAATTATCCATCAAACCCAAATCCCTAGATTTCTAAAACACAGAGTTTCAGGACACTTCAGTCAATGGAGCCTAAAACCTGTGGGATCCTTGATCTACGCTTTGGAATTCTTAACATACTTCTTATGTTGGAAATTGATTACCAAGGAGTCCTCCTTAATGGCATTCCAAAATCATACAAGCAATTACACGAGATGGGAAATGAACTGACTGCCCCATTAATGCACAGGTTTTAAATAGGGCAGTCGTACAAACTGCCCTACACGCTGTTTTAACCTCAGTGACTATACGAGGAAACAGTGGTGCAATTTGGTGCTTATTTAACACGCAACTGCGAGACGATTTGAACGCTGCAATATGTAATTTGGGAAGGGAAAAGGGGAAAAACAGCCCGCTTCAGTGCTTCTGCAATCAGAAATTCCTGCAAGGTTGGGAACAATCCTCTTTACACGACAGGGAGGAATATATATATCCAATGACACTAAAAACAGATGAATGATCCCTGGGCATATCCATAGTAAAACAATAAAAGTGAACACCAGGAAAAGTTAAAATCATTAAAACTTTTAATAAAACATTAAAAATTTTAAAAAGATTTTAAAATGCTATAGCATTTTAAAATCTTTTTAAACTTTTTAATGTTTTATTAAAACTTATATATATATATATATAGACATTAGTTCATGACAATGGTGTAACATGGGAGGACAGCCTAGGGTAATTTCTCACAATTCCCAACATAAAATAAAGAGAAACAGCCCAACACTTTGTGACCCATGTTTGAAGCGAAGGTTGACAGAAAACATGCAGCCAAATAATGTTATTGGGAGCAGACTGAGTTTTTTTTTAAAAAAAAAATCAAATTATGCACACGCACACATACACACACACTTAACTTACAATTAATAGCAAATTATCTACAAGGGCAGCTAAAAATAAAAATAAATCCACCCCGACAAAATCCTGAAAATATATATATATATTTTTCTGAGGCATGTATTGATGGTGAAACAAATCCTTTTAAAACACTCACGTACGTTAAAAACAGGGGGGGGGGGCAGTTCGAATAACTGCACAAGAGGCCACATTTCTAATGTTAAAAACCTCAGGAATCAACGTTATAAATACATTTAAAAAAAAAGAAAAGAAAAAAAAAGAAACACAAAATGAGAACGATGCACAACGATGGGAAAAGGAGCTCTGGGGGGTCTACATACGTTGCGTGTATGTATCGCAGGCAAGGCAGAGGCAATTTCTTTTTAAAGCTTTTTGCACAAACTTCATATAACTCTTAAAAAAAATATGCTGGCCTTTACAAGGTTCTACTTGCTGGAAAAAAATAATAATTCAGAATTCAGTTCATAAAAAGTCACAAGACTTCAGTTTAAAAACAATGCAACGGTTCCAGCCACAGCCGCGCAAATATATATATATATATATATATATACATATATATACATACATACATATATATATATATATATATATATATATATATATATATATATATATACA